AATTAAACACATCATCCTGACTCAGGGTTTTCCCCTTTATTTTATAAACTGGTATTTGCCTATGGGCCATGTCTGAGTCCTCTATATTGAGAGGCAGTCCTTTGTCTCTCTGAGACAAATAGCCCTTCCCCTTCTCCCTTGCCCTTTTTCTCACCTCTCCCCTTTTCTTTCCCTTTCTCCCTCATCCTCTATCTCCCATCTTTGTTCCATATCCCTGTTCTCTGCTCCTCTGGGACAAATACATCTCCTATGTGCTAAGAACTTTGTCTTGAAGTGTCCTGAGCCTACTTTGAGGTCCCTCCAAAACTTCAATTAAGAAAATGCTTTCATAAGATTGGTCTGTATACAGGCATACATATAGGCATTTTCTTAATTAGTGAATAATGGGTAAAGGCCCACTTAATTGTAGGTGGTGCTATACCTGGACTGGTGGTCCTGGGTTCTATAAGAAAGCAGGCTGAGCGAGCCACGAGGAACCAGCACTCCTCTGCAGCCTCTGCATCAGCTCCTGTTTCCCGGTTCCTGACCGTCCTTACTTTAGTGATGAATAGTGACATGGAAATGTAAGCCAAATAAACCCTTTCCTCCACAAGCTGCTTTTGCTCATGGTGTTTTATCATAGCTGTAGTAACCTAAACTAAGACATCATCAGATCCCTTGGAAATGAAGGTATAGATAGCTTCGAACTGCCACATGGGCGCTGGGAACAGAACCACGGTCCTCTGCAAAAAGCAGCAAGTGCTTTTAATCCAGAACCATCTATTTTAGCTTTTACCATTTAAAGCCCCTAGTTTTGTTTTTTGAGGCAGAGTCTTGCTATATACATCAGGCTGGCTTTGAACCCATGATATTTCTGCCTCAGCCTTTCATATTTTGGGCTTGCTGACATATTCCATTATGCTCAGCTTTTAATTTTGTTTTCATATTTTACCTATTGTCAGTCTGAGCCCACTGAATCTTTTTTCCCACCTATATTATTCTACATTTTTATAATTAGCTACTGTGTCCTGGTCAGTTTTGTGACATACCTAGAAGAGGGGAATATTTACTATTGTGGAATTACATTAGTTAGGAATTACATAGGTTAGTCTGTGGGCATGTCTATAAGGGTATTTGTCTTAGTTAGGGTTTCTATTCATGTAAGCAAGCTACCCCAATTAAATATTTCCTTTATAAGAGTTGCAGACATGGTGCTGGAGTTCAGATCCTTACATCTGGATTCAAAGGCAACAACAGGAAGTGAACTGAAATACTGAGTGCGACTTGAACATATATGAGACCTCAAAGCTGGCCGCCAGTGTGACACACTTCCTCCAACAAGACCACCCCTACCCCAACAAAGCCATACCTCCCAATAATGCAATAATGTCCTCTCTTTGGGAGCTATTTTCTTTCAAGTCACCAGAGTCTTTTTCTTTTGTTCTCACTTTCTTTTTCTCTTTTCTTATTGTTTCTTTTGTCTTCTTTTCTTGGCCTTGAACGCAGAGACTCTCCTGGCTCTGGCTCCTGGAGGCTAGGATTGATGGTATGGGCCACCATGCCTGGAGGGCATTTCATTATTGGTAATTACTGATGAAGGGCCTAGATTATTGTGAGCAGTGGCATCCCTGGGCAGGTGGGTTTTGGCTACATATAAAGGCAGCTGAGTAAGCCAAGGGAAGTCATCGGGTAAGCAGCATCTCTTATGGTCCCTGATTCAGTTCCCACCCTGACTTTCTTTGATATTGGACTGTGGAATTGTAAGGGAAAAAAAATCTCTTCCCTTCCTAGGTTGTTTTGGTCATGTTGTATTATCACAGGAATAGTAACGCTAACTAAGACATATGTAGATTTGTGCATGCCTGTATATATGTATATGAGCATGCGTGTTCAGGTGCTGGCAAAGGCTAGAGTGTCAGATCCTTCTGGAGTTACCAGCATTAGATATTAGGATCAAACCTGAGTCCTGTATAAGAGCATTAGGCTCTTTTTGCTGCAAATCCTTCTCTCTAACCCCTAGAATCTTTTTCTTTTCTTTTCTTTCTTTTTTTTTTTTAATGAGACATAGTTTCTCTGTGCAGCCCTGGCTGTCCTGGAACTCACTCTGTAGATCAGGCTGACTTCGAACTCAGTCTGCTGCTTCAAACTGCCTCTGCTTCCTGAGTGCTGGGATTAAAGGTATGTGCCAACCCTACTCAGAATTTAATTCCACTCCATTTCATAATATTAGGCTGAAAACCACCTATCCCATCCATCTAAGATATCTGTATCACTTTCTTATTATCCCATAGCTTCAGAAATTCCTTGAGATTCATGCCACCCACAAAGCTGTTTTTGGCTCTATTGAAGTATAATTGCATATAAAAATCATATATATTTATGGGAGGCCACTTGGTGTTTTCCTGTACATAATACACACAGAGGCTTAATGAGCAAGTGTTCTGTGCTTTTACTTAAGACTTGCTGAAAACATTGGCTGAAACAAGATTCTCTGCCCTATAGGAGCAACATACAGGGTTGTTAGTTGTTTGTTTGGGAAGTCAACTTTAGGCGTTCTAGGGAGGAGCATATGAAATGAGACAGGTCGAATGGTGCCTGACATTTGGTAGGTCTCCAGACATAGACACTGAGATTTATTCCTCTTCCTGTGCCTGCTAAGAATTGCCTTTGTAGATTTTCAGGTTAATAGATTTTTTTAAAAATTTAGTCTCAATTTGTATTTGGCTTTAAAATTTCTTTAGCTCTATGACTTTTCAGATATATATATATATATATATATATATACATGTGTGTATATATATATATGTGTGTGTATGTGTGTGTGTGTATGTGTTTAATTAGATATTTATATATGTATATATACTTGAGACAGGGTTTCATGTAGCTCAGGCCTTGAGCATCCTATAAAGCCAAGGCAAGGGTAAACTTAAATTCTCTATCTTCTTGCTTCTGTTTTTCCAGTGCTGGGACCACATGTCATCACATCTAGTCTACATGATTAATTTATTAATTAGTAGTATTATTATTGTTTGTACATATAGGTGTGTCTCCAAGGTTGTCATGGAGTCCAGAAGAGGGAACTGGGTCCCCAGAACTAAAATTACAGGTGGCTGTGAGCTACCTGACAGGGGTTCTAGGAACCTCACTAGTCTTCTGCAAGAACATCAAGTGTGTTTAGTGATATCTTCAGCTCTGCCAACTTGAGTTTTAAAGGAATATATTTTATGTGTACTTATATGTCTGTCTGTATGTGCATGTGGCTGTGAGGGCCCTAGGAGGCCAGAAGAGGGAGTCAGGTGTCCTGGAGTGATAGGCAGTTGTGATAGGAACTGAACTCAGGTCCTCTGCAAGGGCAACAAGCCCTTTTAAGCACTGTGTGGTCTCCAGCCCTTGCATGATTATTTTAAAAGTGGTGGGCAGGGTTTGGTGGCACACACTTTTGGTTGGAGACTAAGGCAGAAAGATTGCTATGAGTTTGAGACTAGCTTGGTGTATATATTGAGTTTCAGCCTAGCCAGGACTACACTATGAGGGACTTGTCTCAAAAAAAAAAAAAAAGTGATGAATCTCACCTATATACATACTGTGCTTTTATTGTAACATTTTATATTTATTTGTCAGTTATTTATTGAGACAGGATCTCACATCACATGCCAGGTTGGCCTGGAGCTCACTATTAGTCCAGACTGGTTCAAACTTATTGCAATCTTTCTACTTCAGTATCCCAAGTTCTGAGTTACAGGAATGAGTTACCATACTTGCCAATCCTTCCGTCTTTGTCTCTCTGTCTCTCTCATGTAGGTTTGTACAGAACTTGCCATCCTCCTGTTTCTGCCTCTTATTGTACTGGGATTACAGACCTGTACCACCTTATTAATCTTATTAATAGATTTTTTTCTTTTTTTGAGACAGTCTTGATATGTACTCTGGTTCGCCCTTCCTCTGCCTCCTGAGTGCTGGGATTAAAGGTTTGTGTCATCACCACTCCTGTCTGATTTCCATTTAATATCACTTTCTGTAGCTCTGTAATATATATTATATATAAAACTATACATTATTTGCAAAATATAATATATATTTGCAATTGGACTTTTTTTTAAAACCAGGGTTTTACATTTATTTCAATGGTTCAGAAAACATATACATACATATATACATGTATATTCATGTCGTGCATGTGTGTGTGTGTATTGTCTGGCTATTTTTCTGTAGCTTTAGGATTTTAAACATAAGGACACACACTTCAGTAATCACACAAAGTTAATCTACACTGCCTATGAGTAGAAACATTGGCAGCAAAGCAATAATTAGGAACAATGGAATTCTGGGAAGGATAAGCTTATGAGGGAGAATATCACAGGAGCTTCCAATACTGAATTCTGATAATGAATCTGAAGCTCAAGCCTGAAGAATTATGTTCCCAAATACATGTCATTTTATACCATAACAGAAAAATGTAGTTATCTCCACTCGAGTATGAATGTTGGATTTTCTTTTCTAGTTATTAATTTTATAGTCCACACATTTTTCTGAGTATGTATTTCCAAACTGGGAAAAGGTAAAAACAATGGAATGACATATATAAAAGTATTTTTGAAGGAAAATCACTCTCTCTCTCTCTCTCTCTCTCTCTCTCTCTCTGTATGTGTGTATAAAAATAAATGGTTTTGCTTTATAAGACATAAAAAAGATTTTGTTAAGGAAGTCACACTCCTGAGGTCAGGCTATGAAAGTGTACTTGCTGTGAGCTCATCATCTTAATTTTCCAAGTTTTGATTCAACCACTGATTCTCAAAACTACCTTGTGACATTGGATAGTATGCTTTTCTAAATAATTTCCATAGATTGTACAACATGCCACAGTAAGACTGCACACATACTCTGTATGCAGCCTAAGGTTTATTGTGAAAACTTGAAAGTGTCTGTTGTTCAAATGTCATAAATAACTATCATTGCTCGTGTGTCAGTTCTGCCTGCCTTGACTGCTTCATCAGGATGTCAGTGTGCGCTGAGCACTCTGCAGCTGCATCCACAATGTCAGGCCACCTAAGTGCCTCTGTCTTCATCATCCGAGGCAGTGCCAGCATCCACATCCTCGTCACTGTCCTCTGTCCCTTTGCGACTTCTTCTGCCATTAAAACCTGGATTTTCAGTATTTACTGAAGTTTCGGGTTCTTTATTAAATGGAATAACAATGTCTTCTTTCTTCCCACATTTTGCACAAACTTCAAGTTCACAAGCACATGGTCTGCATATTATGTGGTAAGAGTCCTTCACTGTCTTTTGTAAACATTTAACACACTTCTTAGCTTTTGACAGTGGTTTGTACTTGCTGTATTTTACACGCCACTCAAGGACTTCTTTGCAGCGCTGACATACTCCATCATGAAGTTTTGCATTGATTTTCTTGGTCTGAACACTCTTATCGAACTTGTCATTTTTGAAGGAGAATGTATTCTGGTGCTTCTGAGGCCTGGACCGAGCCACGTTGCCTTTCTGGGAACTCATCACCAAATCACAAGCACCTCAAGTCGGTGCAGCCTGGGTTACAGCGAAGAGGAGAAAAGTTCCCGCCCCAGGTTGAGACTATTGACAGTTGCAATTGGACTTTTAAAGTTGCTTGTGATTATAAGAGACAAAATTATTGTTGGAGGATCTTGGCAAATAAAAACTTGGAAGGACTGAAAACCACACAAGAGTGTGTACTTTTCCTTTGCTAGTCTCAAGGAAGGAAGTCTTCAGGCAGTAGACATTTATGTTGTGGAAAGAAACATCAGCAGTTCACAGTTCTCTGTGGTTTGCATTGCTAGACCCTTATGCTTTTTTTCCCCTAAGTGTATGCACACTGCACTCAGGTTCATGCTGGCAGCAGTAACTTTAATTTTTTTTAAATCCCCTTCCTAGGTAGCTGGGCATACACTAAGCAAAGCAGTCTGAGTTGTTCTGTCTTTCCTACTTAAGAGTCACTTTGAGCTCAGGTTTGAGCATGGAAGCAATTCCTCTGTCACAGGTCTTTCAAAGAGTTCATTGTTTTCATAGGGTAGAATCACACCTTCCCAGAGCCTAGCAACTCCCATGTCTGTCAGTCTGCCAAGCTCCAGCCACACATGAAGAAATACTTTTTTATATTGTAGCCCAGGCCAGCCTTGGTCTTGTATGTAAAATGACCTTGTACTTCTGATCCTCCTGCCTCTACTTCTTGGGTGCTTTTCATTTGTTTGTTTGTTTTGAGACAAGCTGACTTTAAACTCAGAAACAGTCCTGCTTTAGCCTCTAAAGTGCTAGAACTCAATGTGTGGGCTACCTGGCCAAACTCTCTTTAGGCGTTGTTGAGTGTGTGTGTTTAGACATTTGGATGAAATTAGATGGTAATTCAGTTACCTTATTAGAATTAGGTAGCTGTTAAAGATGGATGGGAGGAGTGTGTGGCCATCCCTGATTCCAAACACTGCCAAGTTAGGATGTTAGACCTGGATCCTGGGGTCCAGGTTGATTTGGAGCTCCCTACACTTTTCCTTTTTGAAGCAAGGTCTCATGGTGTACACCTGGCTGGCTGGGAATTTGTTATGTAAATCAAGTTGGTCTTCAAGTTTCAGAGATGTACTTGCCTCACTGCCTCCAGAGTGCCTCTGAGTTTCTCATTCACAACTACCTGGCCCTGTGAGGAACTCTGTGAATGTAGGAAGTGGTGAAGGTGCTTAAGGAGTGGTCTATCTTTGTCCCTTCTGTAGACACTTCTTTCTAGAACCCTGGAAACGTAGGCAGGGGGTGGGGACAGGGGGCAGGAGCCAAGACAAAGGAGTAGAGACCTCATTAGATTGTCTTGAGTCTGACAGGCAGGCAACCTCCTGTACTTCAGGTACATCTATCTGCCAGTGGCCTCTGGACAGAGAGCCTCACTGACTCAGCGCCTCATAGCTCAGATTATATAGGTATGGGAATTATCCATGGCTTCTTCCAGTGTGCATACCAGTGTGTTAAGAGTGGATTGCTAGATTCCAAAGGGCATCCACATTTTGACTAGCTTTGTAAATTGACAAGATAAGCTCTGCTAAAGTTCAAGAGTGAATTGCAAGCAATAATTTTATGGTAATAATGATGGCCTAATGATGGAATTATATGAAGGACAGAAATCAGCTAAGAGAACTATTTTGTTTGTTACATGTAGCTCCTAAGATGAAATTATTTACTTTTTTTGTAATAGTTTTAGTGACAAGAATATTTTACTTATACGATGCAGCTATGATGCCTAATTACTAGTTAATCTTATTATTATTAATTGATATTGTTTTTTTAATCTTTTTTTACACAGTGCATAACTGTGTAGCTCTGGCTGACCTGAAACTTACGTAGACAAGGCTGGTTTCAAATTCACAGACCATTCTGCCTGATTAAAGATGTGTGCTACCAGGCCCAGCTTCATACAATATTTTTTTTCTTTTTCGTTTTTAAATTTAGATTAGAATCAAACTTGTTTTACATGTCAATCTCAGTTCCCTCTCCCTCCCCTGCCCCTGACCAGTCCCCTATCCTATCCCCTTACTGCTTCCCAGGGAGGGTGAGGCCTTCCATGGAGGATCTTCAAAGTCTGTCATATTATTTAGAGCAGGACCTAGGCCCTCCCCTGTTGTCTAGGCTGAGAGAGTATCCCTCTATGTGGAATGGGCTCCCAAAGTCCATTCATATACTAGGGATAAATACTGATCAACTACTAGAGGTCTCATAGATTGCCCAGGCATCCTAACTGACACCCACATTCAGGGGGTCTAGGTCGGTCCTATGCTGGTTTCCCAGCTATCAGACTGGCGTCCATGAGCTCCCCCTTGTTCAGATCAGCTGTTTTTGTGGGTTTTCCAGCCTGATCTTGACCCTTTTACTCATCCCTCCTCCCTCTCTGCAAATGGATTCCAGGAGCTCTTATCAGTGTTTAGCTGTGGGTGTCTGCTTCTGCTTTCATCAACTACTGGATGAAGGCTCTAGGATGGCATATAAAGTAGTCATCAATCTCATTATCAGGGAAGGGCATTTAAGGTAGCCTCTCCACTATTGGTTAGATTGTTAGTTAGAGTCATCCTTGTAGACCTTTGGTCATTTCCCTAGTGCCAGATTTCTCTTTAAACCTATAATGACTCCTTCTATTATGGAATCTCTTTTCTTGCTCTCCTCTATCCTTCCCCTGACTCAATCCTTCCTGTTCCCTCATGTCTTCCTCTTCCCTCCTCTTTTCCCCTTCTCTTTCTCCTAACTCCCTCTCCACTCACCCCCCTGCTCCCAATTTGTTCAGGAGATCTTGTCCTTTTCCCCTTCTCCAGGAGACCATGTATGCTTCTCTTAGTGTCTTTCTTGGTTTGCACAATAATTTTGAGGGTGCTAAAATTATCAGAAATGTCTTGTGTAATTAAAATGACAATTACATTAGGGCCTAGCAATTCTATTCCATATATTTACACAAGAGTCCAAAAAGACATCTAGAGAAATATGTGCATAGATTCACAACAGACTTATTCACAATAGCCAAAATTGAACTAGGCTTAGGTCTCCATCAACCAGGGAACTCACATATAGACTGTTACATAGATAAAAATGAAATGAATGCTGATTCTACAACATAAGTAAGCCTTTAAAACTCTATGTGTATGTGTAAAGTATATTGAGGAAAAGAGTGTTTACCATTTCAGGGAATGAATAAGGACTGACTAGATAGAAAATGAGGAACTTTCTAGATGTGGAGTGAGAGTAATATTCTATATCCTGACAGAGATTTTTATTACATTGACCCAAACCTACAAAATGCCATATTAAATATTTGTGTATTTCAGTGGACATTAGGGTTTTTTGTTGTTGTTGTTTTGAGGTAGGGTCTTATGATATAGACCTGACTGACCTCTGCCTCTTGAGTGCTGGGATTAAAGGTATACATCACTATGTATTTTTTGAAGGGTGTTTTCAAATTTCTTCTTTGAGAATTTCATAAATGTATTCAATATATTTTGACCATACCTCCCCTCACCACTCCAGCTCCCTCAAGAGCCCCTCACCAGGTCTCCTTCCTAATGTCATTGATTTTTATGATGGAGAAAAGGTAACATGATGAACTCGTGATACATTTTCTTATATGTCTAGACTTAAGTTTACTGAGGATTTTAACTTTACAATACATCACAGAAATAATGAAGATAAACTGATGGAGGTATAAACAGATGGATTTTAGTCTCCAAGAGAGGCAGCTAACACGACAGCAAGCTAATCAAGAGTTCCATATCATACATGTTTGGATGTTCTTTTTTTTTTTTTAGGATTTATTATATATATATATATATATATATATATATATATATATAATATTCTGCCTGCATGTATAATTGTACACAAGAAGAGGGCACCAGATCATTACAGACGGCTGTTAGCCACCATGTGGTTGCTGGTAATCGAACTCAGGACCTCTGGAAGAGTAGCCAGTACTCTTAACCTCTGAGCCGTCACTCCAGCTCCCATGTTTGGACATTCTTGATGTTTTTACTCCACTTTCCTCCATGCCCAAATAATTTTCAAAATGAAATTCTGGAAACACAAAAGCATTGCTACTAAGGGACTAAATAAATGGCCTTAGGCATGAAGAAAATAACATTGTATATGTGTACATATATATGTTTACTGTAACTACTGCACTCCAAAGAGCCTTAAAATTGTTAACAATGCAATTTTTTTCTCTATATTCTGATGCAAGAAAAATTTCCACACTTATCACAAAATGTACAAATCTGATACGCCAGTTTGCTCAGTTTGAAGTTTGGAGGCATACAGGTATGTACACACCTTCACATCTCTAAAATTTCTAGGTTGACTATGAAGAAAAAAAAATAATGTTGGCCACAGATTTTTATCAGCTGTTTATTATGTAATTGTAACATCCATATTCAAGAGAAAATGCTATTATTTAACCTGCTTTTAACTGTAATAGTAAGTAAGAAGGGTTTTATTTAACTATGTTCCTCAGCAGTTTTTCCTTCTAATTGTTTCTCATTTCATAGTACTGTATTTCCCACAGTAGGGAAGTACCAGAACTCAGTAAAGGTTTGTGGTTTAACTTCATTTGCTTAACTGCTCGTGAATTAAACGAATATACTCATTTTTAACTTGGGGTGGGGGAGAGAAAATCAAGATAAAGGAGAGCAATGTAGCAAAGGAGAGGGAAACCCCTTTCAAGGCTTGTTTCAAGCAAAGCAAACACTGTCCTCTTTCCTCTTAGGGAGTTAAAAATATATTTCTACAGTCAAAAAAATATATTCTGAAAGGAACAAGCAGTAGACTCTTGTATCTGGGTTAGGAAAACATCTTAACGGTCAATATAAATGAATGAAACAATTTCGTTTTGAGCAAAGAAAATACTGGAATCTTAAAAACACTTACCAGAAACATTCCTGTCCAGAGAGAAGCCAGGAAGAACCTGGTGAGGCCAATGTGGACAGAGTCTTCAGTGTGTCGGGTCAGGACGAGACTGCCCATTTGTAAGCCTTCTCATTGGCTCTCCACCAGGTCATGAA